AGGGAGTTTCTCACATACAAAACTAAGATGTCAAGGGGGTTTCAAACCTTTGACCCCTTGTCTTCAAATCAATGCCCTTTTTCACTAGGCTAGATCCCATTAATTCCCCAATCATATTAAAATTGTGTAAATTGTAAGGATGTGTTAAAATTTAAAAATAGTACAGCGTTTGGTTGGTTAATAAAGTGGACAATTGAATGACAACGACTGGAATTGCACACATGATCACAAGACAAAGTAATTCATGTTTGGTAGTTTTTTTTTTTTTTTTTTTTTTTTTTTTTTGGTGGGCATTTTTTTTTTTTTTGGACAATTTTTTTTTTTGGTCAACTTCTGATGGACATGTTTGGTGGTGTTGACACAGGCCAAATGTGAACGCTAGTTCAACTTAAATTGAGTGGCTCCAAATAAAACCGAGTCTGCTGAGATATTAAAATGATATGAGGATCTAAGCCCACCCCCAGGGCCCCACTACATAGCTAACGCCGGCACGACAATGGCACTGATTAGAACATAATATTCAATTCATCACAAATATATATTGTTGTTCCTTCCACGTTTACATAATTTGGACCATTCCTCTTTGTCCTCGTTGATCTTTAGTGGTCGAAGGAGGGCATTTTATAAGCCCCTATTTTAAAGCCAAGGGTTATTATGAGAAGTTCCACATTCAGGTTACAAAAGATACATTTGTATAGCTTATGCATGTTGAATTTTGTAAATGACAAAAATTAAAGTAAAAATGAATTCCTGCTCAATTGGAATTGCGAAATGATGACTCTTTTGGCAGAAACTCAACTCATGAATCTCGATCCCCAATTTCCACAAATTTTTCCTGTGCGTCATTTAATAAGTTTCATCTTTACATTGCCAAACAATGGAAATTTAAATTTCTGACTTTTAGCTAAATGCCGAGTTATTTTTCTCCATCCAAATGAAAGGTAAAACAATTGTAAGTTCATTTCAAGAAATGATGATAAATGATGACATTATGATGTATTAAAATATTGATTATGGTAATATAAAAATCCATGTTTTAATATTTGTTCTGTGGAATTATAGCAATCAAAATAGTTTTTCAATATTTATTACATTAACCCTTATATTTTCTTCTAAATTTGAAAAAATATTTTTAATTTCTCCATGGAGCTATTTGGCTATAAAAGACCATAATAAATAAAAGATATCGCTGATATAGAATGAAATGTTTTGGATAATATTTTGAAATTTGTAATAGTATATTAACACCATAAAAGCTTCTATCAGTTTTTGTATTGTCTTAACTTTTGAAGTATCGGTGCCATGCCAATGGGCTGAGTGGTTGAGGTGCTGCCCCCTCCCCCATGGCACAGATTCGAACCAGAGAGGAGACATCAAGAGAAGCCCCATATCCATATGTATTACTTCCCCCTCCCCCTTCCTACCTACTACTGACAAAACAAGAAAAAACAATTTTTGACGTGTATGTGACTATAACATAGTAGAGCCTTGTTTAACTAATTAAAATAAAATAAAAAACGGTACAAAAAAATCAATCTTTAAATGAAAATATAAATACAATATATATGAAAAATAGACGAATCTCTTTGAAAAAATGTACTCATTCCCTCAGAAACCAAAAAAAAAAAAAAGATGTACACATTCCCAGTTGACTCTTGACTTAAATTAGCTATTTGCATTGTTTCCACAGACTTGACTCGTAGACCTACAAAAATAGGGAAAATATGAAAAATAACCTAATGAGCTCAAATAAATGAAACTAATCTGTACTAACAAACATAAAATTAGGGATAAATAAATATATCAATGGTCTATTGCATGACGTGCATATATAGAAACTATTATAAAGATTGCATTGGGTTGACAATAACATCACTAACAACCAAACATCATATTGTCCTATCCATAAAATTTTAGGTATCGAGAATCGAGAGCATTATTGCTCACAACTTTGACCTAAGGTGTTTCCTCATTATCATTCTCAATACTTGACACATGTCTATATGCATAACCATAGTTCCATAAATATAACGTAAAAAGTTATAACCATAGTTATGCTTATGAACACGTATTAAACATTAAGAATAGTTGTGAAAATACACTTTGAGTTAAAATAATGAGCAAAAATATTTCCATTAAAAAGCCTAACAACCCAAATCGATTTTTGTTGACTCTCTGGCCATGGGTGACTAATAATAAGTCAACAGTAACATGAGAAAGTCCTTAATTGAAAGATTTCAAGACTTAGAAAGTCAAAGTCTTTTTCATTGGACCCGCGGGGATCTACACAGTCCCATTCACATTTTCCATTCCCATTTAAGCACACCACTAAAATCCACTTCTGAGACAGTGAAGGCCCGGGAAGCTTCATCCTTCACCACTAATCTGAAGGGCCAAACTATATCTGGGAGCCGAGTGGGTCTGATTGGACCCATTACCCCATGTGCATGAATTGATTATCAAAAGGAGCAGTGCCTACATGATGACCTAAGACCAATATCAATTATCGGAATGCGTTGTCACGCATACAAAATTTACAAATACATACAATCTTTAAAGTTTTTATTTATTTTTTTCAGAGCGTTCACTTGTACTATATCTGGTTTTGAGTACCGTTGTTATTCGTGCTCTTTGATGCAAAAGACACAATTATTCATGCTCTATGTTTGATAGTCACAATGAAGTCAATTTAAAATAGTCGGTTTCCTATAGGAGTTTTCATCGTTCATAGGGCATGATTTTACTTTTTGTGTCTTAAAATCAAGACTTTTGGACACGAATATGGCATATATCTGATAATCATTGATTGCTGCTTTTGATTTGACTTTTGTACACGCATACAAACTATTTATTTGTGTCCAATGTAATTTCTTTTAAAAAAAAAAAATCATTAGGATTGCCAAAAACCAACGCCACTCTCTCCACCACTTCTTACATCCCTCCACTACACAAATCAACCACACTTCACCTCTCTCTTTCTCCACCACTGCCACTTCCTCATCTCTCTCTCTCTCTCTCTCTCTCTCTCTCTCGTAATGCAAACACAATGAGCTCACTAAAATTAAAACTTTCAACCAAACTCGCACAAATACATACAAAATTAGATTTAATGGTATAAATGAAAATAATGCACAATTTGCTCATTCAAATTAAAAATGTCAACATCTTTCCATACAATCAAAGCAAAATTGCTTTGTCTTACAATTGGAACAGTGGACAACTACAAACTTGTTAGGCTTGTCCTACAAAATACAAGGTTTTCATTTTCGTTCATTTCACAAAGAACGTATTCGACCATCTATAAGAATTTAGAGCAGCACCCAAGAGAGAGAGAGAGAGAGAGAGAGAGAGTGAATCAAATTTTAGATATTTCTTATCTTTCAATTTACGATTATTCATGGGATTATTGGAATCTATCTTCGTCTAATCGATCTCTTTGAATTTTCTTATTCTTGGTCGTATTATTCAGCTGCTCCAAGTGCTTTTCACAGAGGAGATGTTGTGGTTGAGGAGGATGGTGGGAAGGATTGGAAAGATTGGGAGAGGTTAGACAATCACGGGCTTGATCATAATGCAACTACTATTGTGTGACGTGGTAAAGAAGTCATCAGTAAAATCGGAGGAGAATAAAATAGGCTTATTTTGGGTTTCTGGAGATAGAGTTAGAGCATCCACAGTGGGGGGATATATAAGGGGATGTATGTTAAATATACACTCGTTGTGATCGGAATCACCCGCAGTGGGGGGGTGTACATGAATGTAAAATTACATCACCTTGGAGATGTATATTTAGATGCAATTGTACATCTTTTTTTACATCTCTTGCAGGTGGGACCCATCTACAAAAAGGAGAGGAAAATGGAGAAAAGTGGCTTTACACCCCCGAAAATACACCCCCCCATTAGAGCAAAAAGCGTATTTACACCCCCCGGAGGTGTAAAGGGGGATGTAAAAGTGGCTTTACACCACCGAAAATACACCCCCCCATTAGATCAAAAAGCGTATTTACACCCCCCGGAGGTGTAAAGGGGGATGTAAAAGTGGCTTTACACCACCGAAAATACACCCCCCACTGTGGATGCTCTTATAGTTTTGGGGAAAGCAATGGGTGGAGGAGTACTGTGGAAGGAAAAAATATATAAAACTTTTCAATGAAGATAATTTTTTTTTTCTCCTAAAACAAGGAGTTGATAAATTGAATAAATTATCATTTTTAAAAGTATATAAAGGAATTTCATTTCCCAGTACTTGCTTAAAGAAATTTAGTGAGAGTTTGTGGAATTCCATACATAGTATAGTTATTTAATAAATTTATTTGCTGAATCTACAAAGTTTATGTGATCTCTTCAAGTTGTACCGACATTACATTATTCCAATTTTATAAATCACATAAACCATTAAATTTAAATTTAACATTTCCCTTAAAGAGGTTCTAGTTTGTAGTTCCGAAGAGATCACGAAATTAAATTCCCCCTATTTCATTATCCACTCGAGTTCAAACGTAAACCACTAGCTAGAAACAATGGATAAGGAAGAAAATGTCACTTGAAAACTTCCACGATAGGAATGCTGGTTGAGACAAGAGTTTTTAACTTTTTCTTTTTCTTTTAGCGAGAGATGGTTGGGTTTTGACTTAGACTTATATAAAAATTAAGAACGTGAAAAATGCGATTACACCGCGTAACAGAGAAAAGCCTGCCACATATGGACACTCAAATTTTTACAAACCAACAGAAAATAAAGCTACAGCAGTGTGTACGTGCCTCTCTGACTTTAAATTGGCTTAATGGAGGGACCTAATTTCCAAGAAAGGACAAAGCTAAATAAATCCACGTGCCAACTGTTCCAAATCTCAAATTTTTCAAAGTTGACGGCTGTCACTGGTCGTATGGCTGATGTAAGTCTGGATGACGATCGAGTAGCTCTCACTCTGACCCTACTCATTAATTTCCCTCTGTTTTCTCATCACTTGAAGACTTCTTCCCTTTTCGCACTTTTATCATCACTAGGGAGACTCGCTAGAAGAGACTTGGAGTTAGAATATAAATGCATGTGCGTATTGCTCAAAGCAAGAGCAATTCAAACTACAAAAACTTGGGAAATTCAGCTTCATGGGATTATTAGCCGCCAACTTGGAAGAGAGAGATCATCAAATTCAAATGGATCATAATCAAGGAAGTCAGTCTTCTTCAACCAAAGTAGAAAGGAGGGTGATAGAGAAGAACAGGAGAAACCAAATGAAAGTCCTCTACTCCAAGCTCAACTCTCTCCTCCCTCGCCAAAATTCCCAGGTCACTCTCTCACTCCCTCTATATATATACGTCTAGATTACGATCTTATTGCACATACGTGTACACTAACTGTGAAAACTAGCTAGAGTGTATGAGCCGCATATGTTCTCTTATAGCTAGTAATAACAAGTTGAGATTTTGATTCTTACTTTGAGTATATTATAAAATAGGTATCACTGCATATATTCTTTTCCCGATGCTGGTTGGTTTGTGACGACTTTAGGCTTTTTGAAGCAGCGTCTCTTTCTTTCCAATCTGTATCCACAAGCTATGTTCACTTTGATGTTTCATTTGCCTGTAGTCCCCTGTCATTGGACTCCTGCCTATTTGTAATTGGTGCTTTGTTTGCACCCTGGTTCTATTCAAGTACCAGTTTGTCCAAAATATATATATA